TAGCCGTGTTAGGAAGGAAGAAGGGAGCAGATAGGGAATGGATCTCGACAGATACATGGAAGTTGATAGAGGAGGGAGAGGAGGATGGTGAAGCAGAAGATAAACCAGTGCAATGCAGGGCTGCCCAACGAAAAGACGAAGTGAGCACAACCAACCTATAAAACACTACACTGAACAAAGAAGTGAAGAAGAGTGCGCGCAAAGACGAGAGACACTTCCACGATACATTGGCAAGTGAAGCAGAACGGGTTGCAGGTAGGAGAGACAGAGACCTGACAACTTTATATCAAATAACCAGGTTACTATTGTCTGGGAAGTGAGAGATCAACACAGATGAAACCAATGAAAGATAGTGAAGGAAAGGTAGTTAGCAAAGAAGAGAAACAAAGGAAACGATGGACTGACCACTTCAAAAAGCTCTTGAATCGACCACCACCATCTGCACTTCGTCCAGAAATACCACCTGCAGCCCAGCCGCTGAACTACAAGTGAACATAAATCCTCCAAAAAAATGGTTGTCCTGAAAGCCATAAAGCTAATGAAATGTGGAAAAGCAGCAGGAATAGATGGGATCCCGCCAGAAACACTGAGAACAGACGCAGGGACAACTGCGGACATGCTCACACCACACCAATATTGCAGAAGTTCTGGAAGGGAGGGAAGGTACCTGCCAAGTGTTTCAAAGAAGGGACACCCTGTCTAACTCCCGAATAAGCGTGACCTACGCCTTTGCAAGAACTGGCACAGAATCACTCTCCTGTCCACCCAAAGTGAGCAAAATATTAAGCCGCATCATCCTGGAGCAACTAAAACATGAGCTGGATTCAAAACTATGACCAGAACAGGCTGGCTGGCTGGATTCAGGAAGTAAGAATCATGTGCGGATCAAATTGCAACGCTACACTACGCTACGCATCATCATAGAACAGAGCATAGAATGACAGTCAACTCAACTCTACCTCAAATTCATCGACTTTGAAAAGGCTCTTGACAGCGTCGACCCACAAGTAATTTGGCAGGCAGTTGCTTCAACACTACGGAATACCACAAACCTTTGTCCGCCTCATTCAACAACTATATGAAGACGCCACATACCAGCCAAGTAATTCACATTGGGAAGGAAGCTTAGTGATGCTTTTGAAGTGAAGACAGGAGTAGGAGTGAAACAAGGCTGCCGCCTACTATCCCCCATGATATTCCTGATTGTGTTGTGGTCGACTGGATCATGCAACAAACAGTGGGGAGCGAGGAGAGGTAGACATACTGGATTGTGGAAACGACCCTAGAAGATTTGGATTTTGCCGCCGCCGATGGTGATTTATGTCTAATGTGGCACAAACTTGAAGATCTAGAGGCGAAAACTAACAAGTTGACAGAAGAGGCAGTGAAGGTGGGACTTTCTTCAGGTGAATGTAGAGAAGACAGAGGTGATGAAGATACCCAACCAACAACACCACCACCAACAACAAGCTCCAAACATCATCAGCGGGAGAAGCCTAAACGAAGTAGTCCCTTTCACCTACCTAGGAGGCAGCGTCGTCTCAGCTACAGGTGGCACAAGCACACATGAAGACGTCAAAGCCGGAATCGAAAAGACAGACCTTCGTTAACCTGAAACCAGTGTGGAGATCTGCTGCTGAACAAGATCCGGAATTTCAACACCAACGTCAAGTCAGTGCTTCTGTATGGCTCAGAGACTTGGTGCGTTACGAAAGGCATTTCCAACAAATTATAAATTTTCATCAACAACTATCTACGCTCGTTACTGAAGTTCAGATGGCCAGACTAATAAGAATAAGCAACAAGGAACTCTGGCTGGCGGCTACCGAACGAACCAAGAACCTATCACTCGACAAATATGCAGAAGGAAATGCAGATGGATTAGGCATACACTAAGAAAACCGTTCGGGGACATCCCGTGACAGGCACTCAAGTGAAACCCAGATAGAAAGCGACGAGTTTGGCGTCCTAGGTGAGGGTGACATAGAGGAGATCATGAGAGGAAGAAATGAGAGCTTGTGGTTAGTCGTGGAGGCAGGTTGAAAAGATTGCAGAGAATAGAGTGGAATGAAGACGTGCTACTGAATCCCTATGTTCCACTAAGAACCCAAGCGACAAATAATAATACACAAATCGTACATTTCTAAGCCATATGATCTCTTAGTCAGCTGTTCACTGAAAATCGAGCGACTGCTGAGATAACCAATTTGGCTTTTATATTTTATGAAGAACAACGTTTCTAGAGGAAATATTGAAACCTGATTAGTTATTGCAGCAGTTGCTAGGGTGGACTTTAAAGTCACCCTGAAAATCAAGAAGGCAATTTAAAATTGAAAGTGGTAGTTAAGTGAATTCGCAAAATTGCAGTCAGATCCATGATGACTACTTCTCAGGGCTAGACCATCAGACCTTATCTGTACAATGAACTTGTTATCACAGATTGTATCTTCAGCTGATAGTTATTTTGAAAGCTTTTTACATCTGGCTTGCGGGAGTATATAAATAGTACCTTGAAATCGTAGTATGCATAGTTTTTATGCAAGTCCATCCACAATAAAAACTAGAGAGAGAAGGTAATTAGTGTGATGATGGTCCTTTTCATCGATCGATGTCGTTCGGCGAAGGGTTGAAAACCAAACAGCTGTCTATAAGTATTCCATCCACTTCTTCAACTTGCATGAGATTGGAATCCAATAGTGGCCAAACAGTATGACATGTCGGGAGTAAAATTTAATATTTATTAGCTCTGTTGTATATTTGGCTGTGAATGCACACAGTTCAATCATCTACAGAGAAGACAAAATAACAATTCTTCTAAATACATGAAGAAGATATCAGCTTTCATGGTGTTCACAGTCATAATACACCAACCAGTTGTATGTCTTTAACGGTACATGGAACATAACTAGCTATAACCAACTCTTTTTATCCAAGTATCTACATTTTTCTTCATTGCTTCTTTATGCCAGCATAGTTTCTGAAAAAGCCATCATTTTCTTAATCTACAACCACTGCCAACTTTTTGACTACATGGAACATCAGTGCTAGCCGGCTGAAGTCACATTATCAAATTAGAGTTGGGGTTCTCAACTTCTGACTGGGAGGGAGGATTTTCGTTCTCATCACTTGTAGTCTGTCAGGTTTCCACATCTAGGAAGTGAATGCTGTTCTCATTGCTGCATTACATTGATTTCTTTGTTGCATATACGGTTCGTTGGCACGCTTAAAAAGATTTTTAAAAACATATCCAACTGTGTCGCGCAGTGAATTTCAGAAAAAAGACACCTATTCTTGAACGCTGTTTTATTACCTACACTCTTCGTATTCATCAATTTAGGGTTCTTCTGCAAGGATATGCCCCAACTAGTTGTTCATGGCATATTCATTAAATTGATGTTATAAGTATTGTTGATCCGTTATTTCACGTCTTTAGTACACGAATGTAAATGGTATCTGAAATTGCATTTCGGTAAAAGAATTTTACTGTTTATTTGAGGTTTTCGCAAATACGACAGCTAGACTTCGGATAGGGAAGAGCATTAAGACCTAGAAAGCGTCATCACCTACACCTTGTGCGCATTATTGAGTCCTTCGTGGTGTCAGTCATGTTTATGAATAGCTTGACGGTAAATTCTCTGACACAGGCTTTATTTACCAAGAGAAGATTAGTTTCCTCAGCCTTGCTGATGAGTACACCACACTAAAGTGGAGTAGTGCTTCCTGCCAACTGACTTATAACAACTAACTTTAACTTCATGTCATGTAGTTGCACAATTTTCATTAGAAGGTTAAAAACTCTTTTACATTTTGGACTAACAGTTTTGTCAACTAATCGACCGTGAATTAATATTCACCTTCTTGAAATTTTAGATCTATGTACAATTAGCGAACCAAGTCATATAATCATTGGTTAAACCATCAAGGAAACTGTCCTACACATGTTTTATATTATTCTCTTCAGTTATACTTCTTTCGCAACTGTCAAGCAAAAGTCTTGAGTGGCAACAAAATTACACCTTCCTACATAGAGTTCTCTTCCTTTACTGAATATACCTTAAAATCGATGTCAAGTCTCTGTACTACATCTGATCTCACTAATGACCACTGTTTTCTAATACTATGTTCATCAGCATTCAGGTGAAGTTCAGGATTATCACATCAGTGTTTATATTCACATTTATTGACAAAATGAAATAGTATACATCTTATCAAAGCCTTTGTTTCTTCAGTTACGGATTTTACTTTGAACAACTGATGATATATAGTTTCACTGATCAATAATATCGCGTTCACTCTCTCTAAATCACCTCGATTTGTATTGGGATGAGAAGACGTGAATAGACAGCCGATGTGATTACAATTAACAAACAGCTAAATGTAACAGCTGTTTAAAACCCTCGATAATTGAAGTGACAGTCACAAATCCATATCAGTCGATGTCATAATTTCTTTGATTGAAATTGGTATATAATTCCGAATCCATTCGATGAAATAATTATCAAACTGCATTCCTAAAGAATATTCAATGAATCATCACCAATCTACAAATCTTCATGGTTAAATGACTGTCATATCGCTTACAAACATATATTCAATATCTGTTGTACAATTTTTAAAGATCTTGAGTGTGCCAAAAGAGAGTTTTATCCGCTAGAATGTCTAAATCTGTTATTTTTCAATTAAGGTATCACATGTGACCTATACATATATATACATATATATATCCCGTGAAAGCTAGTGAACATTTGATAATTTGTTAAAGACGTATAATTTATATCTCAACTTAAGCCAACTGTGATTGAAGGGTGAAGGTTAAATAGAGGAGAACATTAATGATAAAGTTAACTGATTTGAATATAATCTCCTTTTATTCAATACAGTTCTCTATTAATGTATTTACTGATTAGATTATAATAGATGAATGAATATATTTAGTGTTTTTCTCTCAAATACCCCTGAATCCCAGACATCTTCAGTGATTTTTATTCTTGATAACAATAATGCTACGATTTAAAACAAAACTAAATCATCAATTCAAACAAATGTCTTTTCTATTCATCCTTTGTATACTATTCACCACCAATTGTGTTAATTCATCCAGTAAGAAGGAGGAGATTGCTGTTGTTAAATGGAAATTTGATGAATTCGAAATACATATCACTGCAATGTTATTCTTACTGATAGTTATATTGATCAAGATCGCTTTTCGTTATACACCGTATATTTCATCCTACATACCAGAATCATTGATATTGCTTATTATTGGTATTATATTCGGTGCGTTTATTCGTTATGCATTAGATAATGGCCTAGTAAAGATTCAATCATGGAAATTGACACCAGAATTATTTTTCTTCTATTTACTACCACCGATTGTATTAGAATCTGCTTATGGATTATATAATCGTACATTTAGTGAATATCTTGGCACTGTACTTTTATTCGCTGTTCTAGGTACTGTTCTGAATTTTTTGTTTATCGGTTTTGTTATGTATGGTTTGTATATTGGTGGAGCATTTGGTTATCCAGAGATTACAGTGGATTTAAAAAGTTTTTTACTGTTCAGTTCATTGATTGTCGCCGTTGATCCTGTCGCTGTGTTAGCCATTTTTCAAGATATTAGCTTAGAGTTGAATTTATATTATATAGTCTTTGGTGAATCTCTGTTGAATGATGCTATCACTATTGTTCTGTATGAAATTATGATTGAATTCACTGGATCAGAAGAGGTGACCGGTGCACAGATTGGCATAGGTATAGCGTCATTTTTCACTGTGAGTTTAGGTGGCCTACTCATTGGTGTTGTTTTCGGTTTGGTTACATGTTTAATCACCAGAATTCGCAGTGATTTCACCGTGTTTATAGTATTATTACTTGCTTATTTCTCTTACATCATGGCTGACTGTGTTGGTTGGTCAGGTATCATTTCAATGATCGGTTGTGGTCTAATTCAAGCAGCTTATGCATTTCACAATTTAGACGAAGATTCAGTTACAACAGTGCATAACTTTGTTAAAGTTGTCGCAGTGATCAGCGAGTCTGTAGTCTTTGTATTCTTAGGTATCGCTGTCATCGGTGAGACGCTTCGATGGCATACTGGCTACATCTTATGGGCAATGGCTATCTGTTTAATAGCACGTGGTATAGTTGTCTTGGGGCTAACGGCTATTCTAAATGCCGTCAATGTGGATCAGACAAAGATCTCTTTAACGGAGCAAGCTGTCCTCATCTATGGTGGTCTACGTGGTGCTGTCGCCTTTTCACTAGCGATTTTAATATCTAATAATATATTAGGCGAGAAAGGTAATCAAACTAAAGAGATAATTATTACCGCAACACTGTTCATCATTCTTTTCACCGTTGGTTTTATGGGGATCACTATCAAGCCATTGGTAAAAGCTTTGAAAATACGTATGGAGGGAAAAAAGACACTGAGTTTATTTACTGAGCTGAATACCAGTATACTGGATCAAACACTTTCAGGGATTGAAATACTAATTGACTGTAAACGTCGTAATGCTGTTCGTGAGTTTTTTATGCATGTTGATGAAAAATATATCCGAAGGATATTACAACGTGATCCCGAACGTTATGATGAGAAGATATTTAAAGTATACGAGAAAATTTCTTTACGCCTACACTATGCTACAATGATGCCAAATAAGAAGGAGAGTTTTTTAACTGACTTACCACAGTCTATACAGGAAAAATATCTTGCAAATGGAATTCCCTTTGATGAGGATCATACTAATGAACCAAGTCATGTTACAAGTGATGATATCTTGAACACCTATAATGATAATGATCGTCAAGGAAGACAACAACAAAAACAAGGTCACAGGGTCAAGAAAAGTTGGTTCAGACGTAGAAAAGCACTCACACTAGATGACCACATAGATAACACAACCAGTAGTGATCAACGAGCTATGGAAGAGGCGAAAAATCTTCCAAAGAAGTTGTTTTTACCTAAACAGTCAACAAAGAATTCATCTGAAGCACAATCAATTTCCGGTATGCTGAGATATTCAAGACGACCATCATTATTACCGAATTCTAAACTACAAATGGGTTTTAATGACAGATTTTTAGAAATATTAAAATCACGTAATCGTGAATTATATTTGCGTACAATGACGAATGAAATGGATAGAAAGAAAGTAGCATCTCAGTCATTAACATCACCCACCTCCTTCACAATTCCAGTTTCGTCGACTACACCACATTTAATGTCTTCAAATTCATCAACAGTTTCACCGAAAGAGATAAATAATTCTCAAACTTCTAAACGGCAGAAACAGTTGGATCTACCCTCAGAAAATGAAAAAAGACCGAAGCAGAACCAACAGGTTGTTATACAAGATTTACGAAGTCATGATGATAAAAGGGTAGACTTTTAATGAGATCAAGCCAAACCTTGAACCTTCTTCTCAATATATATAATAAGCAGTTAATATACTTTTATTCATAACAATGCAAAAAGATTATCGTTATCGTTTATACTTAAATTACTGTCATCATTAACTATTATTGGATTTGTAAGCGAGTTTTCACCAGTCTGTTTTGACCAGAAATAGTCTACTTATATTCTTGAAATAGGTTTTCAGAGTTATGTGTCATATATAATAAATATGTGTACTGAAGCCTCAAAGATTGAATTCTGTTTCTGTAAATCCATGACTGGTTATATTACAACAGACTGCTACCATAGATGACGAATAATTTTGATCTGGAAGGTGAACATATCGTACTTTTTGGGCATCTAGAATTCTTTTCTGTCCTAAAATCTGCCTCTACCTGTACCTAAGTGAGGGATATTGTTCCCACTGAGACTTGGACCTCTTATTCATTGCTTCAGATGTCAAAATGCTACCCACCAAATAACTAGGGCACGATAGCCATCTCTTGTGCAAAGGGGTTCCAAATAGTCACCAACATGAATATAGTATCTCCAACTTATTGAAAAGGTTAATATTTCAACCAGTAGGGTATACACTGGTGACCTGTTCGTGTAGTCGTTCCAGTTGTATGGCTAGTCAGCTGTAGCCTGAATAGCTCAGTAGTTGATTTTCTGAATTTAGCAGTAAGTGATGTGGATTTGAATCATCAAAGGAGGGCATATCATTTTCCTCATGATTGGAGATGCGTCTTCCTGATTAGTGCCAGCAAGTTCAAAACTTATTCGCAGTACAGCTTTTAACTGACTAACTGCAAACACCTGATAGATTGATATTTTTTACATTTCTGTTCTCCCCATTGAAAATTATATGGTTGTTTTATGAAATGAACTACATAAATGAAACGATTAAAGTCAAATGACCACCCACAAATGAGGCTAAGAGGAGATAAAAGATTATCAAATAAATAAATATAATTTACAAAAGTATAGGACAGTTTTTTCAGCTTTTAAATAGCTGAAAAATGAATGACTTAGATAATCAAATTATTCATAAATTAATTCTCGAATACTAAACATTAACTTCACAAATTAATTAATTATCCCCAAATAAAGTTTCTAGAAAATGTTTTCTGTTTCCAAAAGATATTTTAAACATTGCTCATTAGAGTTAATTCATTTATATACCATCAAATAATATACATCGTTATCCTGAACAGTACAATGTTTTGGGTTGGAATCATTTTTAGTTCCATTCCATCCTTCCTGGCACTCACTAACACAGTCCATTAATAATTTAAATGAATTGAGTGCTCCATGAGTATTATCCAACGTTATGATTAAATTAAGATCTGGGCTGATATAATTTAGTTGGCATACAGAAATATGCATCGTAACACTGATCACTGAGAATCAGTCGATTACTGCATCTGTTTATTCTACTCGAAAATACCTCTAAATCACGGAATGAATGATTTAATGCTTAAATCCTCACTATGAATGACCTTGACTGTAGGGTCAGTAAACTTTCTCACTATTCACGACAGTAATATTGAAAATACTACTTAAAAAGACGGAAGTAAGATGAATAAAATGTTTTGGGATCTGAAAATGAGGTTGCATTTTTTGAGAGGAACTAGTGAGACACATCAAATGGTCAAAGAGACAACTTGGTATTTGAGAAAGGAGATATTATTGTTCCTTCTCTCTTCTCTGGATATCCGGGTTGAAGAATGTTTCAAAACACTTTTAAAAAATTGGTCCATTGTATGATCATTCTATTCTGCTCAAAAGGAATAATTAAGCAGAGTGGTGGAAAGTGAGAAGCACTTTGCAGGATTCAATAACTTGTGCTTTTGTTTAACTGTAGCATGTTACTTATAACTTTTTAAGTAACCTATGTAAAATAAACTAATTTTTGTAGGAACTTCTGTTTATGAACAGTGAAAATGTATCTTTATAGCTTTAGACCCAGAAAACTTATTCCTTGAGTATCTTCCCGCGTGATTCAACCGATACTCTTTATGTTTCTCCAACAGCCACCACATGATACCTTCATTATTCTTCTGTATTTCTGAAAGAAGTTGAGATTCTTTGGTTCAGTTAACTTCCATTCATTGAGTTATGCCTCCTGTCTTCCCACAAACACTTCCCTTTGAGCAGTCAAGTAGTAAACTACTTACTTCTTTCTCCACCATCCTCCTAACACTCAAACATAATCTTCATATCCACTCCACTGATGAAGAACCTAGTCGTATAAAAGGCAGGATATATATTTGTGAATTGTTATCACTACTGACTGAAATTAGTAGCAGATCTAGTGAATAATACTGAACAATATACATTTACTTCTTAACATAGTTCAGCTATATTTAACAGTGTTTCAGCCACATAAAATAAGGTGCAGCTAATAGTTAAGTCATGAGATATCTCCATTAGCATACATCCGCTTCGATTTCACCATTTTGCTACATGATGCAATCACCATAAAATGTACATAATGAATCGTGTAATCAGTTGTGATAATTATCAAAGAAGTCGTAGATATATATCAAAAGGTCAATATTTAGGAATAGTAATTTGTAAATATGTATCAGGTTTGGTATTTACGAATATTATAAACTCAAGGTCACTGCGTTTCGTCTAAAGTAATGATGACTACCAGTTAGCGTTTTGAATCAATTAAGAAACTGTAAAATAAAGAAAGTTCACTCAAAATATATCAGCTAGGTGAGCTTAAATCCATATTAGTGTAGTGTTTTTGTTTATACTTTCACCCCTAAAAACTCTTTTACTAGGCTAATAAGTCTTGATAAGTATCTCTTATTTGAGTCATAAATATATGACTGACTTTGTCATGTGATTTAATTAGCATAATAATACCGATCAATATTGCTGTTAATAAATAGAAGAGAAGTGACAAAGAATAACAAAACGCTTATCTATACAAATTTTAGAATTCATTTTGTGACTAACCAGATCTTCTGCTATAAAAAGAAGACATGATTAAAATCTCTTTGAATGACTTAATCTCATACTATACATCGAATGGAATGAGCTGTGTACAGATGCTGGATAACCTGGTGGAATAATATGTTCTAAAACAGGGTTGTTTATTGATTTTGGATTCTGTTTTCGAAAACTAAGCTGGCAAATGTTTGTTTATTGGACACTGGAATACGAGTAAAATATTCTAAAATAATGATTCATAACATTGTTGATGATCGCTAATCAGTGTGGGTAGGATAACATACAAATCACTCAATAGAGGTCACTGTACTTATGATCCTAATTGATGTTAGCTTCAGTACATGGGAATTCATGATTCTACTAAGTATTTCAAATGAACTTTACTGTTGTGCATCCAATTACATGCAACCAAAGTCGACGTTCAATGTTTTCATCATTCTGACTAATTGAGATACCTGTGGTTTGGCGGACTAGTACTGATACTAGATGATGATTGAAGGTGAAATGAGAAGTTAGACCGTGGTCGGACTCATACCAGTGACCACTAGGTTTGTGGTCAGATGCTTTACTAAGTGAGTTACGAGGCACAAACCCGGTGGCCGCTGGTTTCAATCCAGCCACGGTTCAAATTTTCATTTCACCTTCAGTCATCACCTAGTACTAATTCTATGTTTTACCTGAAACTAATTATTACAGAGACTAAAGTATGATAATTAATCATTCATTCTGACATCTTATTGATTAGTAGCTCGAAACAATAAAACAACTCAAAAATCACTAATGGATTTGTGCGCTGGACTAAGTGTTATATCTTCTAAGTAAGTGCTACTTGAATATATATAGTTCTAATGGTAAATGAACATGAAGCTCATTAACTGAAAAGTAAGCTATAGTCTATATACTTTATTCTTTAGTTATTTTAATGGATAGTGCTCCATAGGTAATTTTTTCAACATCATATAGCCTCATGGTGAATTAAATGATTACATATTTGACTGATGTGAATTTAGGTCTTTTTTGAGTGATATGAGTTCTAAAATAATGTACAGATGACCCTTACATGATATTATCTATGCTAAGTAAGGCTTACTATAGATTACACTCAACATGAATACAATATCTAAACCAATTTGCAAAGCTGTGCAATACATCGCATGACTCTGACAAAAGAACAGGTGAAAGAATATCTGGAATATGGTAGAAATAAAGACAAGAAGAATCTGTCACATTTAAATTATCTTTTTCTGCGAATGATGTGCACTTGTCCTTAAAATGATCATGTGATTGAGGTTGTAAGAAAATAAGCAAATTATGTTTTCGTCTAAATATAGCACTATTATATGACTAGGTAATAGCTCAATCATCCTCCCTAATAGCATTTTTCTATAGTGAAATTTCATAACTGTTATATTCATCAGTAAATATTCATCGGGTAAAAGAAAAAATTACATTTGACTCTGTTTATCTAGATCACATCACTTGGTTGTGTACCACGCGTAGGATTCATCAGATGCAAACTGAATCCTAAATAAAAAGGACCTTTCACTTTATCCTAAAAAAAATATTGTTAAATCTGTTTTGCACTTACGTTTTCCCGTGACATGTTTGTCTCTATATTCGTTTTACAATGATATTTTTAACTACTTTTTATTTTTCAGTAGTATCCTTACACTTTTATAATTTTGTTGCCTTAAACTTTTGTGAAGTGTTAGTGTGATTATATATCTTATTTTAAGTTCAATATGTAAGATTTCCCTCTTCTTTTACCATATTACCGCTCATACCATCTGCTTCAAATATTATATGTGTGGATTCAGTTTATCATCTCCATTGACCCACGTTTAATAATTAACTGTGGTTAACTACTCTGCATAACTCCGCACCGAATGTCTGTATTTAAGCTCATTTCACTGACTGTACCTTGAAGATATAGTAAGTACTGAAGAAATTTACTATTTGAGGCTTTTCTTAAGTAAGGTACCACCACAGAAGAGACAATGAGTATCTGGAAGCACTGGTACACTTCAGTAGTAT